TATAAATGGAACTAATTAAGAGGATAGAGAGCGATAATAAGAAGAATTGTGCTTAAATGGTATGTTGTGTGTTAAAAAGAATTACTATAATTAATAGACTATGTGTTGCGGTCAGAAGGGTTGTCGGTGCCTCGTCGGAATAATGATGTTGGTAACCGCATCCATCATCTCTTGGCTAGTAACTGGGTGGTCTCTATTTCTCATATTTACTGGCTAATTCGATAGTTGATGGATTAACACTTTTAGTCAAGAGCCTCGTTTTCTATGTTATTTAGGCTTCATTTCGTCCCTTGGTTTTTAGCTAGTTTTGTTCTGTTGCTTTATTTTCTTTTCTTTTAGATTTAGAAAAAGCGATCCACTATGAAAGAGTACAGGCCTGAAATGAAGCACGCCCACTGACGGCGCGATCGAAGCTCCTCTTCCGCAATAGGCGCTGTGTTGATTGACTCCTCATTTCACTTTCACATGCAAATCCCTCTATTTTTTTTTTGTGACACGCCGTTAGCACACCATCTTCTGTCGTATCCTTTGTGTAGATCTCTCCTACAGTCTACACTCTACAGCATGCGTGCAAACCCCCACCCCCCCGAGACCCACTAGGCCATTAAATTATTGTTTGACCAAATTTCTGGTGCGAAGCATGGTATTAAATCAAAGTTAAAGTATGAATAGTATAATGAATTTAAATTCCTGAAAGTTATGAAAATTGTATAAAGGCCAAATACATATATAGCCCATCCAATTTGGTATCATTTTTTATTTTGGCTTACCTTGTTCCATTTTAGTCCTCCAACTTTATTTGATATGTTTCACTTTAATACAAAATCAGTGCAAAAAATATAGCACGAATGTATATACGAATTTGAGTTGTAATAAATATTCAATTAAATATTATTGCCACTTAGTTTTTTCATCCATGTCAAACGGGTCAATACTAAAATACCCGAACCCAGCCATATTTTTTTGTGGGTTATTTCATCTAAACGGGCCAGGTATAAAATCGGCAGATGAAAACTTTGGAACTTAGAGAATGAAGATGGGGCAACAGTGGATGAAAAATACGGTCGGATTCAGGTATTTTAGTATTGACCCATTTGACATGGATGGAAAAATCAAGTAGCAACATTTAATTGAATATTTATTACACCTCAGATTTGTGTATACACATGCGCTATATTTTTGCACTAGTTTCAGCTTTTGTGTTAAAGTGAAACATAAGAAATAGAATTGAAGTGCCAAAATGGAACATATAAAATAGAGGGCCAAAATGAAACAAAGGAGAAATAAAGTGCCAAAATAAAAAATGATACCAAGTTGAATAGGCTGTATATGTATTTGGCCTTTTATAAAATAGATTGTTGTCAAATATTATGGAACGCAAAAGCTGCATCAACTAGTAATATTGTGCCCCTTAAATCTAGGCTAATGGTTCTTTAAAACATGTGAGCCTTGCTTCTTATATACTTATATATTATTTATGTTGTGTTATGCTGATATGAAAATTGTCAAGGACGTTATATACTCCTCTCTTCAGCATCCTTACTTGTGGAGAAGAAGAGAGGTTCTCTGTACACCATGTTCCTTTATAACTTTGAATTTAAGAAAATAACTTTTTTAGATTTTTTTCTCATTTGTAAATTAAAAAAGAATAAAGCCAAAAAGTTAATTGACCCAGAAAAAACGATATGCTAGGTACATCATGAAAGTTACTTCATTACCTACTTCAAGTTAGGAGTGCGGAACCAAAATGTGGTTTATTTTTACTCAAAATACTCAAATAAGTGTAAAAAAAAGAAGTTACCAAACTATATATAACGCCA